ATCTAATTTCACTAATTTATGAATTCAGAAAGCTTTTAAGGTCGTCCTCGATGAATTCACTCAAACCTCGAATGAGATCTTGTTTGGGATCGTTCTATGCTTGCAGCTGTGTGTGTGAGAAAACATTAAAATGATATTTTTACTCGCCTTGTTGTCTGTTTGTCTAAAGAATGGAGTTTGGAGGTTAAAAAGCACGTTTAGAAATCAACAATTAGAATAATGGTTCTATTTACCCATATCGACAAAAAAAAAAAAAAATTGATATATTATTTAATACTTTTCTCATTTCAAGTAACTTCAACTTATTATACATTTTCATATTTGAGAGATTAATAATAAAAAAAAGTACAACCAGAATGGATCAAAGCTATCCACAAGGACAATGTTATCATCATCTTGAAAATGACACAAAGCAACAGAGATCTGACAGATGTTCAAGAAAGAGTTTGTATTTAGGTATAAAAAAAGGTTGAGAATGCTGTAAATATCTGAAACGTTCACTTTGCCCGAAATAATTGGCTCGTTGATGCCTGCGCCATTGCCAGCGGCACCTAGTAAATCTAAAGGCGGCTTGCCATACCCGAGAGACGGGGAGGGGAGGATCAACTCGCCCGTCTCAGGCACGAAACGGAGAGAAGAGAGAGACAAAGAGAGAAAAACGGGCTCGCATGCACAGGGATGGGACGGGGAAGCTGTCTCACAAGGCGACAGCAACAAGAAACAGTAAATTAAACATCTCACTTTTCAGATCCAATTCATCCAACGTTAGTGGAGGAAATGGTTAGAGCTCACCATGGTAACCTAATCCCGAGTGAAAGACACCAGTTTCAACCAGTGTTTGCTCCGGAACATATAGAAAAATGCACAGCATCATCTCATTGCTTTCATTTAGAGAAGAAAGACAACAAGTTTGCTCAATGCTTTGAAGATAATGGGATGATTATCACTTGCCTCATTAATGCTATCTATAACTTTATGCATAAACTTGATCATAAATCTAGAATAAATGGAAAATTGACTTTAATAAACGTGCAATAGCGATCTTTCCGGTGGAGTCCAGCAACAGGTGGAGGAGGGGCAGTGCTCGTTCTCTACCATCTCACAGTAGCAGGACAAATGCTTTAGCAGTTTTCAAACCATGACCTCTTGAAACCTCTGAATATCTTGCTTTTCTGCATCTCAAATATGTCTAGTTAAAATATTGGCACACCACCTTTAAATCTCTAAATTTTGTAAACATGAGAGGAATATTAAGATCTTTAATATGTTTCTTCTTCTTCTTTTTTTTTTCTTTTTTAAATTAGACTTAAATTTCAAATGCTCCACTTTAATTCCCGACATTCTGTCACAGCTTTTAAATTTGGAGCAACACCCCCAAAATTATTCATGGCCCCCTTCTGGGCAGACCTTTCTGGCTGGTGGCACCCCTGGGCTTTTTGGGGGTGGAGTGACCCCCTGCCAGCGGGTCAACAGATTAACCCCTTTTTTTGTCCGCTTCACCTCTTTAGGGCCTCTTTTTCAATTTAAAGGCACAGAGGAACTCTTGGGAAACAATCAATCATTGGTGAAGTTAGGCCTCGACGGCTGGAGGAGGAAGATAAAAATAATTACTGTCGAAGGTGTCACAGGTGTTTTATTTTGAAACTGCTTTGCGATTCAGGTACCAGTAATAGTGGAATAGTTCCCTGCATGGTTCCAGCGCTCAGAATAGATCCCAGACAGGAGAATCCAGTGTTGACGTCAACTACAGGGACATATTTTCCGAACTTATAATCTATAGGTGACTCCGAGTGCAAAGTTCAATCCCACAGGATTATAAAAGCATCATGGTTTCTTCGCCGGGGCTCCTGGAAACACAAGGTCCAATTTGATCCCTCGCGTCGTCTCAACGTGAGTCATGTCTGTGGTCTTCGCTGGCTGTCACCAAACTGTTCGTTGGACCCTTCGGGCAGTGATGTCACTATTTTGCTTGCTTTCATCTGCTCTGAGCTTGTGGTGTAGTGAGCGCAGGGCCTTCCCTTCCCATCAGCCGTGTGTGACATCACCAGTGCACCATTACTGCAAACAGCACATTAAATGACGACTCAAGCTTCATTAGGAGCACCGTGAAAAGGGCTGTAAACAGGGCCATAATGGGCCATTAAACCCTAAGCATTTACATGTTGCAAGAGGGACACCTAGTGGACGAAATATATTTATATTAAATATATATATATTAAAAAAATGAAGCAGGTAAATTTCTGTGAAGCAGGTAAATTGGTTTTCCTCCCAAATTCTCTTCTTTTTGTTTTGTCCAACATGCTCAAAAATGTTTTAGAAAGCAACTAATGGTGTTTTTATTTGTTTATCATCTTTAAACTGGTGTGCTTTGTTTAAAAAAAACAAAAAACAATGATAAAGTGTAAATGTTACAGAATAAATGTGTGAAATTCAGCAGGTTTTCATTGGTGATCCTAAAAGTGGCCTAATCACAGAAATCGCCCTATTAAGAAGGCTCTGATATGTCAAATCAACATATTAAATAAAAAAAAAAAAACGTTTTTAAAATGTTTGCCAAGCAGAGGAAAAAGAGATCACCCTGAAAGTCCCGGCCCTAAAATGACGCGTTATGCTGCAGCGAGACTTTTCTTCAAAAAGAGCCGGGGGAAGCAGGGCAGAGTTGATGAAAGATGAATTAGAAGCTGTGTATTCATGCTTTGGAACGGCCTAGTCAAATTCTAGGCTCAAATGTCAAAAGGGTATTTTGTGCCAAAGTCTTAATTACTTGCCATGGAATCAGGAAGGAGGTATCTTGAAGTCTTGTGCCCTTAAAAGTCCTGAAGTGGTAAAAGATGGAACATAGAACAACATGCAGAACAATCCGTATTACAACACGTATGAAGAGTTATTAGGTGTTTAGTGGATGTAAAAATGCAGCTAAAATGGAACAGAAAATAGTGAAAAAGTAACCAAAACAGAAGAAAAATATGTCATGATGATACAAAGTGAAATTTTTTGAGTTTTGGGGGCGGAAAATGCGCTTTACATTACTGGAGGTCAAACTGCAGCTCGTGAAAAAAATTAAATGGCAAACATCAATGTCCTCGTAACTTGACTAAGCTGATTTGACTAAGCTCTTTTGTGTGACCATGACAAACAAGCTCGCTGTTACCTGTCTCATGAGACATGTCAGAGATGAATAATGACTGCAGAGTGGGTAATGACGGCCGAGATGATTGACTCAGAAAAGAGAGAGAGACAGAGAGAGAGAGCTTGTGTTGCCTCACCTTGCAGTTAATCCTAGATGCTGAAAGATAAAAATGTGAAAACCAGTTGGACGTGTTCAAAGCGAATTCAGGAAAGCGAGACCGGATTCTTCCCTGGTACGGAGGTGTGGGAACGCCACAGTTCTTTAGTTGGCATCTTTCTCTCTTAGCACAGCTTTTATTTCTGCTGGTATAGATCAGTTGGAGGGCAGTCGGTCTGAGCCCACCCGACAGCTGGTACCACTTATGCTGCCAGCATTGTTTCCACAGATCACTCAGGAGTAACCTATTATTCCTCATCTGGCGCAGTCAGAGGTTGCTGTTGCTTTTATTTAATTTCGTACTTTTTCAAAGATAAAATGTGGGAGAATCAATGTGGCAGCCGCCTTTATAGATACAGCCATTAAAGACTTTGATGTAAACACAAGCACAGAGGAGGAGCACGCTGCCTGAACTTTGTTCCAAGGGGAAGTCAGTGGCCCTTTGTGTTATTATAAGGAAAGCCGTATGTGTCCCGCTTTGAACTTTAGCTGAAATCCACACAGTGTTTTATTCTCGGAAAGCCTAAACCAAAATGTTCACAGTCAGTGCTGCATGTTTTAAGCTGCTGGTTTACAACATGCGGATTATTCTCAGCTGCAATGTTACGATCAGCCACCTAGTGGCCATTGGTTGACTTACAGCCATCACTTCTCGTGCCAAAAGATACAAACAGCATTGGATTTGTACACATTTTGACTCTCAAAAAACCAAACATCAGAATTTATTTATGATTATTCTTATTATTATCCTTCAGATAATAATAAGAAAGTTGGCTTCCAATAAAATAAGGTTAATGAACAAATTTGTCCTCTACATTGTGCAGATTTATATATATACAAATAACTATTATAACCATAATAAAAATAATAATGAAGTCAGAAAGAATTAAGAAATTGCTTAAAACACAAAGGTAATAAATAAATACTAGCCTCAGCAGTTTTTTTTTATCTAGCATTGCAGTTTAACAAATGTTTGTTTTGTGAAGTCATTGTTTTGACTTTGATTGCAAACTACAAGTTTCATTCTTTTTTTTCTTTTTTTTAAGGCATACTGATTATCCCCTACTCCCCAAAAAACACCCAACAACAAATAATTAGAAATGTAAAAACAAAACAAAAAAAATCTTATAATAGATATAAAAAATGCCATGTTTCTTTTCAGTCATACAGCGTTTGTGGCTCCAAACGACTTCGCCAAGTTGGAGCGAAGGCTAAAATGACTCTTTAAAAGTTGCCGACTTCTGGTTCATCCCATAAAATCCAACCTTAAAATTTCAAGGGTTTGGAATCCTTTGCAACAACACTACAAAAACAGTCAAAGAATAGTTGTTCTTTTTTTTTTTTCTCTCATGCTATTCTCAGGAAAAGTATTGCGCATATTATTAAAGATTTTTTAAAGTGAACTGTACTGTAGCAACAAAGCAAACAGGCCTGCGCTGACGACCTCACTGCAGTCCAGTCTGCTCAACAGGAAACTGATGCTGCAGCAGATTCTGTAAACCTGCATTCAGGCTCTGTACGCGCTTGGAGCCTGAATGCATCCATGTATGCATTAGAGACGCGCGATAACAAAGGTCGATGTGTCATTTTTAATCTACACCTACATCTGCGCTGACCTACTTACTATGTCAAAGTTTACAGAAGAAAAACATCCGATCATCGCTAGAGTAGCAACCAGATGGTGGTGTTTAAGAAATACGTCATCACACTTTACTTCTCAGCACTTATTAAATAAATAAGCACCAGATTAAAAAAAAAATCTACACCAAGAAGTTCACATTTTAAACAAGGTCAAAAAAGAAGAATAGACGTTTTGCTAATTTAGAGAAATTCGGCTGCACATTGCTGTTTGAATCGTCGCTCTGCTGTGTCAGTACCGGGTGCTGCCTTGACAGCCACCAGGCGTTTAATTCTTTTGTTTAAAACTCTTCAGGTTTCGCAGGCTCAGCATTTTAAAAGCAAGAATAATTTTGTCCTTGAGCCGTTGTTCGGACCCCATAGTGACGAGATCACATGACATCTGGACAATAGACTGAGGGGAGCTTTAAACTCTGAACAAGTCACCAGCAATGATGCGTAGAGACAGAGGACCACGCGATTTTACAATCACTAGTGAATTCAGCATGCATATTTTCACATTGTCGGAGGAAACTAAGGCAGAAATTGTGCTAAGCCAGTTATAGTGATATATATGTGTTGCTAATATTTTATGTCCAAACAAACACTAAGTTCCTTGCACAAGTAGAGGAGTTAAATACATCTCCATAACAACCACTGGGGTAATAAGAAGCTATTACTTCTTTAAGTGATGCAAAACTCTGAACATGGGACGTTTCCCGACTCACGCACAAACAGAAGGAATTATTAAATATGTTTTCTGTAACATTGAAAATATGCCTTTGTAAAAAATACACAGATCTTTACTTAGCATTTGCACAACTGGTCTGTAAGCACTCACATTGTTTATTAACACCTTAAGGACGGTCTTGTTTCAGAATCACAGATCAGGAGCTGCAGCAAAGAATGACATCTTAGGGGTCGCCATAGAAAAAGTTAATACTCTCTTGTTAATTGTTTGGGAGTGATTCCAGGAAGAAGCTTTTGTTTTTGTCCTGTTGTCATAAAAACATGGATAGGTTGCTGAACTCTGTTGGGATCTCAACTAGAATCGTGGGTTTTAGTCAGAAGAAACTAAAGGGGTGTGAAATAAAGAACGCGTTTACGGAAAAGCACCTTATATTCACTGCTAAGCATGGTGGAGTACCTGTGATGCTTTGGGCCTACTTCTCTTCCAAAAGGTCTAGGAAGTTGTAGGGTTTCAATTTTGTCACCCCGATACTGCGCAAGTACAATAAAAGGTGATTTAAAGTGGCACTGTATTTTACAACGGAATACAAGAATAAAGTCATAATTTAAAGACTGAAGTTGTTATGAGAACTCCAACGAGAAAAAGCACTCTTTAAACAACGATAAAATGAAGAATGTTGTTGAGCATCTTATGTGTTGATAAAAAAAATTACTTTTAAAAACTACAACGAATCACTAATGGGACGGTACAAAAATTAAACACTTATTAGGGTACACAGTATTAGGGCCAGAGTAGGAGTAATTAAATTACGAGAATAAAGTAAAAGCATTTAAGTTTGAAATTATTTTTTCATTAGAGAAGCCAAATTAAAATAATAATTAAAAAAGTGATGGGTGCTGTATTTACGCACGGCCCCTTTAAATTCTTACTTCCGTGTTGGAAATCCCGCCCTCCCGTTTCCCATACAAACTCCTGTCGGCCTCGTTGTCCAGGTCTTGTGACTTTACAGCTCTGCCGTCAACATGAGCCGCTTGCTGGGGTTCACCTTCGTCTTGCTGGCTCTCGGTTCCTGCCGGGGGTTTTGGGACCACCACGTCGACGGAGAGCCCGAGCTCGTCTCCCAGCCCTCCAAATACGGCTCTCTGTGGCCTCTGCCGCAGAAGGTGCAAATTTCGGACGTCTCCTTCAAGCTGAGCTCCTCCAGCTTCAGCATCACCGATGCCAAACAGTCTGCAGCCGGCCCGAGCTGCGGCCTCCTTCAGCTGGCCTACAGGAGGTCTGGACATGGTTTTCTCTTTTGGGGGGACACTTCCGGTTTCCCAAATTATGTCTGTGATGCGTTCATGGACCTGTTTTGAGTCACGTCTGCCGTATCTCTTTCTGCAGGTACTATGAATACATATTTGGGGGCGCTAAAAGGCAGAAGGCGAACAAAGGCGCGAGGGTAGGTGCCACGGACCTGTTGGAGCTGCAGGTGTGGATCACATCACCTGACTCGGAGTGTGACGGTTACCCCAGTGCGTCTTCTGACGAGTCATGTGAGTCTCTTCCTCATTGATAACATTGTTTTGGATCAGCAGCACTTCATGTAAAAATGCCTTTTTCTACTTTGGAGAACTTGATTTTTTTTATGAGCAAATAAAAGGGGCAAAAGAAAATCCCACTTTTGCCTCTCTAAACCCACGTGAGCAGTTAAAGTTTGAATTTTATTTATGACTTATTTTCTGCAGGGTACAGATGATAAAGCAAAGCATTCCGCCTCTTTACTGTTTCATTTAGCATTGGTTTTGTTTACATATCGTCTATATAATGTGTGCATAGCAAATAAAAGTAACATTGATATTGCATTTCAACAACATAATGGCATTATTATTATTGTAACAATTTTAAAAGGGTTACATAAGATTTAAAACTTACCAATACTGGAGGTGAAGATAAGTTTTATCGTTTTCTTTTTTTTAAATGACTACATGAATTACAAAAAAACAAACCTTGGAAGACAAATTTCACTTTTGTGATCATATCGTAATTTCAGACAAAGAAATTAAAATTTTGTACATGTATTCAGTGGAAGGGGGAATATGCCAGGAATAGTAATAATAATTTACAAAATGACCCGTCATTGATAATCTGTCAATATATCTTCAGCTTTTCTAAAAGATTTGGCTCTGATGGGACCGAAATGACTTTAGATGAAGGTGAAATATTGTCTGGCGTTGGTTTGGCTCCATGTGATGGATCATTATCCTGCTGAAAGCCCCATTTTCAGGATTATCACTGAGTTTTGTTTTTTACCCCCAGCCGTTGTACATTCAAAAGCAAAAACAACAAAAACCTGTCTGTCTTTTTAGCTAATTAAAGCTTAAGGTCCCAGGGAAAGTCCTGTGAGCCTTTTCATAACACGAAAATGTGGAAAAGTTAAAAATAAAAATGACTGGCATTCCTCTTAAGCTACTGGTTGGTATGTGGTTGGTAATCATCATTGGAGACTAACTTGAAGGAATTCCAAGATGCCATCTCTTCAAACAGCGATCGTTGTTTTGTGGTTTTTATCTCCCTAAATTTGTGTTGTTTTTTTAAGACAGATCTTCTTCATCCTAGTCTTGTGTGACACAAATCAAATTGTGTTTAAGCCGTGGAAAAAAGTGTTGTATCGAGGGGTGGTAGTTCTGAAAACGTTCAAAGCTGCACCTTGAGATTGGCCTCCGTCTTTAAGAAACTCTCCTTTATCAGAATGACATGTTCTCTCGCCTTTCCCATTTTGAAGAGTGGCTAAATGAAGTATGCACATTGTATCTGCACACTGAAAATAGGAAGTATTGGATTGCTAAATAAAAAAAAAAACTTCCTAAAAACTCATCAGCTTAAACAATGTTTCAGTTTCATTTATTATTGAGTTGATTAGAAAAAACCTGGCCGCAGATTGTGACCCAAGTTACTAGGAAAGAACACATAAAACATCTCATCGAATACTTTAATTAAATGGTTTCTTTAAATTTTCGTTTTTCACCCTGATATTGTGCTTCTGCATTAAAAACTACATTTATTTAAAATTTTTAAAAAAATGGATCTTATGTTTTTAACTTTTATCTTATTAGTATATTTAAATGTAAAAGGTAATTATTATAGGCTTGATCTCTGCTGCTTTCTAGTAATGTGGGATCATGAAAATATTTTTGTGGAGCTGATCCCATTGTAGTGACAAAACTTGACCAATGAAGCGAAGGGAAGACTACCATCAGGGAATTGAGTCACAAGTTAATATTCAGCATGACACACTTAGATAATCTTATCTGATGAAATGTTAAACACGCCATGGTGACATTTTTCAGTGAGCGATTTAGCTCCATTTGATCTCATATTTGATGTAAAGAGGAATTTGTAAAAAAAATTTTAAAAAGATGTGCTTGAGCAAGTGAATACACTGCATGCATCCTTTTCCAAGAACAGCAATCTCACTAATAACGGGAAGGAGGAAGTAAAGATTACCTGCAAAGCAAAATCAAGGATTAATCCAGACCAAATGTTACAATCGTGATTTGACTTCCTGGAAAGCTTTATCAGGTCGTACTACGACTGTTTGTTTCTGCAGATGAGCTGACCGTGGATCAGCCATTCGCTGTCCTGAAAGCACCGAAGGTTTGGGGAGCCCTGCATGGTAGGAGTTTATTTACCCATGTGCCTGGTTTTAAATCATCATCAAATGACGAGTACATTACGTTTTAAATGAACTTTGATTGGACTCTGATTCCTTTCTCTCTGTTTCGCTTAAAGCAATTGGCTGTGCTTTGTGAAAGTATTCACAGCCAAATATCAGGGGGTTTTCCAGATGGGGTTGAATTTACTTTGAAATATGTATTTTACGTTGTTTTCTTCGTTTTGAGGTCTGGAGACGTTCAGCCAGTTGGTCTATGAGGACGAGTACAGAGCTGTAAGTGAGACAGATGAATTGTGGTGAACACAAGTGTTTAAGCTGCAGTTCATGTTGTTTCTGCAACTTTTTTCCAGAAAACCATCAATTCGACGGTTATCAGCGACTTCCCAAGATTTGCTCACCGTGGCGTCTTGCTGGACACGTCACGGCATTTCCTTCCAGTTAAAGTCATCCTGACAAATCTGGTACACAAACCACCTGTTTATGTACTAAGTAGTTAATTTGTCTTAACTTTTTAAAAATGTATTCCATGTTACTTCACCCTGCAGGAAATCATGGCGATGAATAAATTTAACGTCTTCCACTGGCACATCGTTGACGATCAGTCTTTTCCCTACTTGAGCCAGACGTTCCCAAACTTGAGCCAAAAGGTTCCAGAACAAACATATTATCAGTGTTGACCATAATGTTTCATGTCCCTATGTTGATATAAACGTATCCCATCACAATGTTGACAGGGCGCTTACCACCCGTACACCCACGTGTACACACCCGCCGATGTGAAAATGGTGATTGAGTTTGCCCGCCTCAGAGGCATAAGGGTGGTCTCTGAGTTTGACACCCCAGGACACACGCAGTCTTGGGGTAAAGGTGGGTTCTCTAGTCGTTGCCGTCCACGTTTAGTTTCAGCTTCTACATTCTCCTGATGTCCGCCTCCGTGCGTTTGCTTCTCAGGTCAACCTGACCTGCTCACGCCTTGCTACTCGGGCTCGAAGCCCTCTGGCACCTTCGGACCGGTGAACCCCATCCTCAACTCCACCTACGACTTCATGAAGCAGTTCTTCAAAGAGATCAGTGAAGTTTTCCCCGACGCTTACGTTCACCTGGGAGGTGACGAGGTGCCTTTCTCGTGCTGGTGAGAAATCCTGATCCGTCTAATAGACCAGAGAGATGTTGGCGGCTGTTATCTACTTATTTATTATCTTTACAGGCAGTCCAATCCAGACATTCAGAAGTTCATGGAGCAACAAGGCTTTGGAACGGACTACAGGAAACTGGAGTCCTTCTACATCCAAAAGTATGCATCTTGTTTTATTTTCTTCTTTAGAAAATATTCATGCATTTCTTTTATTGATTGATTTTTTTTTTTCATATGATAGACTTCTGGACATTGTCGCTGCTACCAATAAAGGCTACATCGTCTGGCAGGAGGTCTTTGACAATGGAGTTAAGGTATCCTCTATTTTCCTTATTTTTGTAAAGTGAATGCAAAATTTGTTACTTAAAATAGTGTAAAATGATAGTTAAAACCAAATCTGATGTTTTTAATGTCTGCTTTTATTGAACAATTTAGAAAAAGTTTATTGATATGGTCTGCAGATGGTTCGAAGTTGTTTAATGTTTTCCCAACCAATCCCAGGTGTTGGTTTGGCCCGCTAATTGCAACATTCTCACAATCAGCTGAAGCTGTCGAAATTTTGTGCTGCATTATCAACAAGCCATATCAAAACAGAATGCTAGTACTAGCATTTTTCTGCTGCAGATGTAAATGGGAGCATTTTTATAATTTATATTTTACAGCACAAGCAGTTTGTGTCAATTCAAGACAGCTTTGATGATTTGGTATCTAGTACAAAGAAAACAAAAACTTATTGCTGTTTTTCTGTCTTTTTGGGAAAATGGACAAAACATGCGGCTTCTTTGTAAATTCTGTACGAAGCTCAGCTACAGTTCATTCTGAAAATATTTGGGTATTGATTTAAATTTGTATGTAGCTGCTCAATCAGTTTAAGCAGCAGATAAAACAAGCATCTCTACTGACAATTGTTTTACAATAAGTAAAAAGTAATAAATAAAAAATCACCCGGAAATATTCAATTTATTTCTTTTTTCCCCTCCAACTAGTTACCTTCTTTCTTTTCAAGCTATGTTTTCCGTATGCAAGTTAAAAGACATGAGTTTGACTTGTAACTATTGCAGCTGAAGCCCGACACGGTAGTGCACGTGTGGATCGGCAGTGGGACTAACTCAGAGATGAGCAAAGTGACAGCAGCGGGATACACCACCATCCTCTCTGCCCCATGGTACTTAGATTATATTAGCGTGGGACAGGACTGGCGGAAGTACTACAGTGTTGAGCCGCTCAACTTCGACGGTCAGTTTTAGTCGTTAATAAGAATAATGATGAAGATAAAGATGGTGATTATTTCTTTTCCTTTTTTTTTCAATCATCTCATGATTGAACTTCGGTCAGTTTTAGTCGTTAATAAGATAAAGATGGTGATTATTTCTTTTCCTTTTTTTTTCCAATCTCATGATTGAAGGAGGGGGATCACTTTTCAGTTTGTTTTTGTTCAACAGGCTTAAATTTAAAGAAACTGTACAGTTGTGACAACAAAAGTCAGTGTGTGAACATGTGGCAGTGTGGTTGGTGGTTTTACTTCTTTATTTGCGTATTTTGCCCGACTGGGCGACTTCAATCTTTGTTTTTACAGTGATCAGATCAGTCAACGTTCACATTAGCATTTTCCTTGGAAATGCACACTTTCTAGTTTCAATCTGTCTTCCTCTTTGTATATGTGTGTGTGCTCTGTAGCTGAAACCAGACACACTAATCCACATTTGGAAAGGAACCCAGGAGGCATACCAGTCTGAGATGGCAAGAATTACGTTGGTAGGGTACAAGACCCTGCTGTCCGCTCCCTGGTACCTGAACCGTATCACCTATGGCCAGGACTGGTCGGGCTTTTACAGAGCCGATCCACAAGATTTTCAGGGTTTGTGTCCACATGATATGTATATATATATATATATATATATTATATATATATTTTTTTTTTTTATCTTCTTGTTGCTTGAAAACCTTCCCGTTTTGTCTGGTTACGCCTCACCTGGTTGCAACTGCCTTGTTCCTGCACTTAGAAGCTAGTGCTAGCATTGCCACACAGCGAGCATATGCAGCTAGCATGTTAGCCAAGCAGCGATTGGCTAACGGCCTCTGGACTTTATTTACTAAAGATCGCAGGCTAGACTGTAACCAATTCATGTTTTCCAACAGTCCCATTACATAAGAAGTTTTATTGCTGCAAATGTCTAAAAGTCAAAAGGTTTCAAGACTCTTTGACGCAGCATGCAAAAGGTTAATGGATCAGGATTGTTTGCAGAAAGATTCATGAATCAACCACTTTCCTCCTGAGATAGAGCTGGGCAAAGATCAATGGAGCACAGCCCATTGCTTATCAAGCTGTCAGTTTGATGAGTAAAAATGAAAATTCCTCGGAGAGAGAAATGTTTTCTCGCATTGAGATGTGACCTTTTCAAGTGTTAAAATAATTTTTCAAATATCAAAGTGTTAACAATGTAAACACTTTGATATTTGAGAAAAACTAGATCCAAGACTTTGAATTTCAACCAGTTGGTGAGAAATCTGGCTCAAATTTCTTTCAATAGGAGACAAAACACAAGAACCAGGAACGTTTGAAAAATATTTAGATAGTATGGATTTGCATGGATTTTCGTCACTATTCTGTACAAAACACGGGGAATGCATTGATTATTATCAGCAGTACTACACTTACCCTGCTTCATTATTAAGCCGGCGTTTGGCTAAAATGAAGCAAAATCTAAAACTGACCCAGTGTTGTCACTCTTGTGCAAACTTTTGTAAGCCTGTTGAATAAAGAGCAGGAAAATGTGCTTGTGCTTATGAAAAGGAAGCTGAATTTACTGAAAACATGCTTTTAAAAAAAACAGGAACTGAAGAACAAAAGAAGCTTGTGATTGGTGGAGAGGCCTGTCTGTGGGGAGAGTATGTGGACGCTACGAATCTGACACCGAGACTCTGGTAAAATATGTCTCTTAGCTTATTTTAACGAAGGTTTTTTTTCACTTTTTGTCATGTTTGTAGGCACAGACTTCTTTAGTCTATTTTTGTCGTGTTAAGGGATCAACACAAAGTAGTGCATAATTGTAAAAGAACAAGAAAAACATACATGGCTTTTAAATTGTGCTGAGACTTAATATGCAATATAAACCACATTTTTCAGACTTTTCCTTAACAATTATGAACCTTGTTATTGTTGGTCTGTTGCATCAAAATCCTGTCTACCAAACAGGAAGGTTTCTGGTTGTACAAGTTCAAGGGGTGTTAATTAGGGATGGGCATTTATTATATCGTTTATCGTGACACAATTTTTAAATTTTGATTTATCGCTGTCACGATAAATTCCAGTTAATGTTTAAAAATGGACTAAAATATATGTATTTTTAACTAATTTCTTCTTTTTTTTATGTTCCATGTGAGCATTAATAAAAATGTGATTAAATGAAGTCCCGATATGCAGATTAGTGATATGAATCACATCTCTCAGTATGTGGCTTCCTGAAGAAGCTCTTTTCAAGTGGGAATATTTTTCAAGAACATTTCATGTTTGTGGGTTTATGAATTGTGCACCATGCAGTTATCTAAAAAAGAAAGTAAGGCATAGTGGTTTTTTTTTTTATTATTATTATAATTTTCTCAATGGTACTTTTAAATTTTTTTTCCCGAAGCACTGTGAGCACAAATAAGATCAGAATGCTATTTTATATTTCCTTAGGCCTCGAGCCAGTGCTGTAGCAGAGCGGCTGTGGAGCGCCAAAGAGGTCACAGACATTGGCGACGCCTTCACTAGACTTTCTCTTCACCGCTGTCGCTTGGTAGAGTAAGTATCGAGGAATTGTTCAAGTACTTAACGGATATTATTACTTATTGCAAGAGACATTAGGAATTGTTTTTGTTTTCTTTCCTCTTTTCTGCAAGGCGTGGGATACCAGCTGAGCCGCTGTCTCCCAGCTTCTGCCTGCATGAATACAAGGGCGTCTGAGTGCTGACGTGCTGATCTGGCAACCGAAAAGGGAAAGCACACATGCGCTCACAATCAACCTTTATGCTTGGTTTGTAAAATTGGAGAATCGAAAGAGGAGCTCCTGCTTCAGAGCTGCCAATGTACTTATTGAATGTGATTCACAAATCTTATGTTCCATGTCGATATGAATAATTATTTTCTATATGTGTTTGTTAGTGGGAATGTTTCTTAAGATTTCAATAAATTATGAAATTGTAATTGCTTCTGTGTTTTTGTTTTTATTAGCAAAAACTATACAGAAATACAGCGGCCATGAATTCATTTAGCAGCATAGCAGAAGCATGATATTGTCCTCTTTCAATGTATTCTCAGTATTTACCATATTAAATAGCTTCTTTTTTTTTTCCAGAAGATGTGAAGAAAACTGTAAAAATATGTGATCACATCAGACCGGACATTCTTTTAAGAAGTGTGCTCTGGTCATGGGGGTTCATGGCTTCGTAGGCGTCCAGCTCCATTGAGAAAGTGGCGTTCCCAGAGGTCACAGTTCGCAGGACCGTGGAATAGCCCTTTAACCCGTAAAAGATTAAATCATTAAATGAAGAGTTGAGACAGATATATCATTTAAATCATGCTGAATCTCACCATCATTTCAGCCAGGGGCACAGTTGCCAGCAGCATCTTATTGTCAAGGCGACTCTGGATCTCTCTGACGGTCCCCCGTCTTTGGGCCAGGTCCCCCAGCACCGAGCCGAGGTGCTCCTCCCCGACGGTGACCTCCAGGGACATGATGGGCTCCAGGACCTGTCCCCCCGCCAGCCTCATGGCCTGGGTTCCCAAAGCGACACCGTTAACGCGATGCCTTCTTCAACGTACTGCGCTTTTTAACGTGAACAAACATTCTCGGTCTACCTTCAGCATGCAACGGGACACGCAGGCCGACACCATGGCTGCAGACGTCCCCGGTTCCACGGAAACGCTGTGGATCAGAGAGGTGACTCCCCAGACAGGGTAACCCAGCAGCGGGCCTGGAGGGTGGATCATATTTGAAAGATTTACGGTGAATCAATATGTCTTTGAATATCCTGTTTGTGTCTTCTGAGTTCAATAGCAAATTTCTTTTCATGTGATATAAGTTTATCATTCTTTCTGCTCCTTTCTCATTCATATCTTTTTAGTTACATGAGCCATTCATATTTATTATTGAGTGAATAAAAGAAAATGAAAGGGGGTTATAAAAAACCAAAAACTCAGTTTCCAGGGCTTTAACAAAAAGCCGCCTCATTCAGCGAGTGCAGACTGACATCCTGAATTTGGATTTTTTTTTCTCATTTTGTTGAAAATTTATAATACTAACCGTTACCTTGGTGTTGTGATGTTTTATGTTTAAGAATAAGGAAGAATTATCAAAGCTGCTTTTACCTTGGAGGTATGAGCTGTGCACTCCGTTTTCCACAGCCTCTTTTATTTCTGGCTGGATCTGCACTTGTAGTTCTGTAAATGCTACTTCACACGAAGCTGAGTCCACCGGTCTGACGGTCAGACTGACCGACACAAGATGCCTTCTGTCCCCTACGGTTCGGTCCAGTGTGTCTAACAAAGGCGCATTCATTAGATGATATTTTCAGTCTTCCAGAAATGAACGTTAAAGCGGCGTACCTGCAGTGGAGGCTTCCTGAAGGATGGTTTCTCTGTAGGCCACCTGCAGCGGCCCAAGGTAAGTCTCGATGCCGTATTCCCGTCTGATTCGGTCGTGGATGATGTCGATGTGCAGCTCTCCCATCCCGCACAGGATGGTCTTGGCACCGAAGGAAAACGGGACCTTTAAAGTTAACGTGCTGTGCTTTGGACAAAACTCTAGCCGCTCCAAAAAAAATGCCACTACCTGACCAGAATCAGGGTCAACTCTGACTTTCAGGCTGGGGTCTTCTCTCTGCAGGCAGTTGAGTGCATTCTCCAGATCTTTTAGTGAAGAAAGAAAGTTTGAAAAACTGGAAAATTTTCGGGAATGAAGATAAACACTATACTAAAATTGTCTCTTTACGGGAATACATATTGAAGTATTTTGGTGGGGTTTCATGCGGGAGATCAACACAAAGCGGTGCAAGAATTGATATGAAAATGTTTTTATAAATTTGGGATGAGAGTTTTTGTTGCAACACAAATAATTTTTTTCTTTTATTAGCCTTTTTGGTTTGTTTTAAAAGAAAATTGTTGCTGGGAACAAACTAAAAACATTCTATAGATTTATAGACCGAGTAAATAGAAAGCAATTTTGTCCCAAAAAGCTAAATAATTGCAAATATTACTATCAGACGAGTGCTTTGTATGTTATGGTGTATGTCATGCTTAATTTTCATTAAAATAATACATTATTTTAAAAATCTATTGTTGCATGGGCAAGATAGAGGGAATTTGTGATCATATTTTAATTCAGGGAAAAAAAGAGAAGAAATTGCGTGATTGTAGCACCGACCTGCCTGCTTGGCCATGGTGGGGGGTTCTATGGTGCAGAAGAAGACGGGATCTGGGACTTCCACCCCAGACAGGACGACGCCGATGTCGGCGTGGTCTCCACGCTTTGTCCCCGTCCCGCCGTCGCTCTGCGCTCGACGAGCAGCGGCGGCCGCGGACGCCTTGGAGGAAACGATGGTGTCTCCCGTGACCGTCTGACGTGAAAGAGAAAACCGTGAGAAGACTCTTTAATATTTGGAAAAGGCGTGGGGGAATACACGGGTCACCTGCTTCAGTCCTACGGTCAGGGCGATGTTCCCCGCACTCATGGAGGGGATTTCAATGTGCTGGTCAGCGAACGGCACCAGCAGTCGGCTCATCCTCTCCCTGCAAACAGAACACGACCGTCACTCGCAAGAATAAGCGACGCCGCGGCTGCTGGGATGGAAAAGACATACGTGCTGTTCCGGTTTATGTTGTGGACGGCCGTCTGTGCTTTCAGAGTTCCGGAGTAGATCCTGAGGAAGACCAGCGGACCGCGCTGCTTGTCATGGAGAACCTTAAAGGCCAAGGCGCACAGGTCGTCTTTGTACCACCGTCTGCTGGTCGAATGCAGACATGTAATTGTCATGAAAAAGAATAATGTATTTTTTATTTTGGAGAGGAACTATTCTTACCGTGATATTTTGTCATGATTTTCAATAAGTAAACTAAAACATGTTAGATTTTTAGTATAACACTTTTCCAATATAATATTCCCCCCCCTTATCAATTTCCGTATCTTTGCCAAAGAGGACATAACAAATATAAGGTTCTCCATATAATTTGACATAAAATTACTGGAACGGGTTTCAGAGGTCACTCACACCAGGTCATGGTGCCGTTCATTAGGAGCAGGTAGGTAAGCAGTGATGGCGTCCAAAAGAGGCTGAACGCCTTTGTTTTTCAGAGAGCTCCCGCACAGCACCGGGACGCCTTTCCGGGCCAGGGTCACGCGCCGCACAGCTTCCTGTAGCTGGACCATCAGATTTAACACAGGTAAGTTCGTAAAGTATTATTACATCTGAACACAAAGTTCTGTTTTAGGTCAGTGCAATGGAAGACTTGCTTTGTCTGTGGGAACGGCCTCAAAATTGTCACCGAAATCCGTTATTAGCAGCTCTGCAAATTCATCGTCCAGATCAGCCATCTGGGATTCAGAGAAGAAGAAGAAAAAAAAAAAAAACGCTCATCAAACGCCGTTCTTTTTTTTTAAAGTTACTTGTTGCTGCGAATTTCAGGATGCACCTGCTCAATGAGCGCCGTCCTGGCCTCACCGGCTGCTTCCAGGAGCTCTGGATCTTCGGATGGGCCGAGAGATTTGGCTTCAAATGTTCGTCCATCGTCTTGTGTCGAAGTCAGGTTCCATATGAGCTTCTGATTGGTCAACAAGTCCACCACACCTGTGAAGTTCTTACCGCTGCCGATTGGAATCTAGACAGGAACGGATTTAGGAGAAGCTTGCAGTAAAACCTCATATTTATTTACAAAGATGTTTATGTTGCAGCTGAAGACAAGAATTGGAAATAAATTTAGACAGAAAGTTGATGTGCATATGTACCTGCAGGAGGACTGGAGTGGCTTTCAGTTTCAGTCTTATGCTCTCCATTGAGAAATTTAGGCTGTAAAAAAAATGTAATAAAACATAGCTCCATTTTTAATATCACCTTCTCTGAGTTTGCAGAAGACAAGATGCCTAAGTCACTTACTCTGCAGTAGGTTTGTCCATCTTATTCAGGAAACAAACGCAGGGTATATGGTGCTTCTCTGCTTGCCTCCACACGGTCAATGTTTGGGCCTGTTGGGGTTTTCAAAGGCAGCGGAAGTTGCTAACTCCATGGGTAAAATGTATTTTAAAATTTAAATATATATGCATATATATTTGCTGTGCCAACCTCAACGCCGGCAGACGAGTCAAACACGGCAACAGCCCCGTCAAGAACACGGAGCGCCCGTTCCACCTCCAGAGTGAAGTCAACATGTCCTGCAAACACACAAATTTCCACTTTCATTTGAATATTTTAGGTTTAACAAGTTGTTTTTTTTTTGTCTTTTTTTCTAATGTATTTACCTGGCGTATCTATGAGGTTTATGCGATGGCTTTTCCAATCAAAAGTGACCGCTGCCGACTGGATGGTGATGCCACGTTCCCTCTCTTGAGCCATGAAATCCGTGACCGTGTCCCCGTCGTCCACGTCTGACGGAAACAAAAGCGCCAACGGTTCAAACCATGGAAAACAGGCGTCCACCCGTTGCTGCCTGTGTCTGACGCACACCTCCTAATGCCCTCGTATAGCCAGAGTAATACAGCATCCTCTCTGTTGTGGTCGTCTTTCCTGCGTCGATGTGAGCCATGATGCCGATGTTTCGGATCCTGCAGAAACACAGCACACCTTCACACCGATCTCCTAATAGAACGTGCAGCAAATGGCCAATAAAAATAGCCTGCTAAATAAAAACGCCTTACTTGGAAATGTCGGGGTTGAGCACAGCCCGCAGAGATTTGATATCATCTGTGAGAGTTAGCAAGAAGGGAAATGCTGAGTGTTTGACAAAAATCCAAATTAATCGATGGTGTATTTACTTTTTTTTTTTTAAGAAAATTAATCATTTTGTCATAAATGCACCAAAATAACTAGAGGTTAACTGCTTAATTTGTACATCACAACTTACTGGAAGACAACAAACAAAATTTAAATTTACATAAATTCATTGAATGCTTTGCAAATGTATTTTCAACTCTTGAACTTTTCATTTCATGACATCGCAGACCCAAGCTGTCAATGTATTTAGTTGGGCTTTTTTTGCATCTAAAAAGTGTAGCACGCAAATGTGTAAACCTACTTTAATTTAATACCCTCGAATAAAATCTACTTAAATAAATGATACTTTGATGAATCTCGAAAAGCCTTTTCAGAGAAGCAGAGATCCACAGCTTAGGAGATCAAATCTGTTGGCACAACAATTACTCACTGGGTTCTCAACAAATATGGCCTTGACCAAAGAATAATAATAGCAGATATAGGATCCTCATTTGAAGTGGCAAAGTGACAAAATGAACATATAACTTAATTCCAAGCTGCACGGAGGATATTCTTGTAAATCCTTAAACACCCAACACAAACTTTAAAACATTTTTAAACGATGAAGGTAAAAATAAATCCCAAACAGTCTTTAAAAAAAATAACTTAAGGAATGTGGCAATATATTCTACCATAGTAATCCTGATTAAGCTTAAAAGAATGCATCCACAGCGCCCTTTAGTAGTGATGAACATATTTGTATGAAGTTGTCACACCTGGTAGAGCGACATAATGTCTTCTCAAATACCAGCTCAGTCTCCATCTGCAGCTTTGTGGTCCAGCTCTCAACCGTGTCTGTGAAGGACAGCGTTATTAATCGGATCAGTAAATATTTATGTGAAATAAATATGACGCGTCTTACCCATATGATCCTCTGTAAGGCTCTAGCAGACATCTCTGGTTGTGCTAAAAGCTCCTTCCTGCCTTTCTGTCACAGCTTTAAAGACAATGAAAGTGGACGACGAGCTGCCACCTCATTCGTTACAGAAGAAATAGAAATAATTTATTTGAATAATACAGAGAAGGAAGTGTATTAAAGTACCCTTGAGGCCAGAATCATTTTTTACTCATAAGTCTCGTTTAAGGCACGACACCAAAATACATCCCCTGGATTCCTCAGGCTTCGTCATTTGGTTCCGCGTTTAGAAGTAAATTCACAATTTTCATTTATTTTTTTTAAGGTTAAGTAAATTTAAATCTTTGAGCATATTTTACAAAAACTGTAAAATATGGTACAGTATTTTACAACAAAACCGATTCTAAATTTTTTAAAAAAAATTCTAAATCAAAAACGGATATGTTGTTTCAGCGTGGTGACGCACTTCCTCTACGTGTCGGCTCCGGGGAAAACAACATCAGAAGAGCCCCAGCCTGAAGCAAAAAACGCCATAAAACACCGTGCCTTCACCAGGCGCAACCACCGGCAGCGGCTTTATTGAAACAAGTAACTTCCGAAGAACAACATGGTAAGAAACCCAGTCGTCTAAATGCCGTTCATTCGCCAGTAAGAGACAATTTAACGCTCTCGCGTTTCTTGAGCTAGCGTTAGCTTTCGTCAGCATGTGGCAGCGAGAGCAACGGAGCTGGATTTCAACTGTTTGTCAAAATTCACCTCGTTGTGTTATTGTCAGGTCTGTGATGTCATTACAATATCTAGGGTATATTTTACACACTAAAGGAGGGCGACCAGGCATGAAAGGTTAATTAAAAATTTCGAACAAATATTGAGTGTGATTTATTTTATTTTTTTTTTTGCTTAAATAAAGAAAATAGAACTTGGAAAATAATTTTAGATTGTGATTTGTTCGCAGTCTCAGTGCCTTAAATCAATATTCACTTGTTTTTGTTTTTTCTTGAAACCACCCAACCTTATTTTCTTAATTATTTCCTTAAAATGTCTGTTTTTAAAGGTGACTTATTGAAAGGGCAACAACTGTAGAAATATCTGACGTAAACTTTAAACAGCTTTTTTACATCGAACTCAAAAAGATTAAGAGCCTATGATCTTTCTGCCACAGTTTATTTTACAAAAGTTTACAATTAAATCTGCAAAAGTTGATTTCTGTAAATCTCAACAGCAATGTTTTAATGCGTGTTTCCATCTTGTTTCTCAGCCTCAGAACGAGCACATCGAGTTGCACCGCAAGCGGCACGGCTACCGCCTCGACCACCATGAGAGGAAACGGAAGAAGGAGAGCCGAGAAGCCCACGAGCGGTCCCACAAAGCCAGGAAGATGATTGGCTTGAAGGCCAAGCTCTACCACAAACAGAGACATGCAGAGAAGATCCAGATGAAGAAGACGTGAGTATGGAGGAAGATATCTTGTCTTGTTTTGTTTTCACCCTGGTAACATTTTCTTTCATCTTTTTCAGCATCAAAATGCATGAACAGAGGAAGACCAAGCAGAAGGACGAAGACAAGACCCCTGAAGGAGCCGTCCCGGCCTACCTGTTGGACAGAGAGGGACAGTCTCGTGCAAAGGTCCTCTCCAACATGATCAAACAGAAGAGGAAAGAGAAAGCCGTAAGTGATGTTTTATGATGTGCACTTAGTCTTTCTTTGTTTACTTCTTCATAATTGTAAACAGTTGTGTAAAATTACCATAACTGCGTTCGTAGGGCAAGTGGGAGGTGCCCCTGCCAAAGGTTCGCGCTCAAGGAGAGACAGAAGTTCTTAAAGTCATCCGAACAGGAAAGAGACAAAAGAAAGCCTGGAAGAGGATGGTCACTAAAGTCTGCTTTGTTGGAGACGGCTTCACAAGGAAACCTCCAAAGTACGAACGCTTCATCAGACCTATGGTAAGTTGACTGTACAGGTTGAGGTCAAATGTTTTCTACTCCTTGGTACCGATGCATCAATTCACTTTTTGCACTTCTGATATAAATATATGATGTTTAGTGTTGGCCGGTACCGATTTGATACAGAAAAACAGTGCTGAATTGGCTTAAAAGATTTCTTTTTCTAAACTCGGATATAAATATACTGATGTACAAATTTATCTCTGCACCAGTACAGTGCACGTAAATGCACCAATAGCTTGACAAGGTTGGTCAGACGTAAAAACAGCACAACTTTGATTTGTTTGGTCAATGTGAAATAAGTAATAAAGAAACTGAAGCTGACAAAAACAAACGGCAACAAACATCTTTCCAAATGGTTCAGAAAGTGCAATTAGGAATTCTGAATATAATGCAAAATAAGTAATGAAGCAATCAGAGAAAAAAGCATAGAATTAGACTGAATTGTGGATCGGTCAGATGGTGACCAATAACCGATCTATAATCATTTTCCAGTTTCGGTAGTGATACAGATTCATATCAGATGGGTGCCTCTCTGCTGCTTGGTTTGAGCTCAGTCACCCACAAATCATTCTCTCTAGGGTCTGCGCTTTAAGAAGGCTCACGTCACACACCCAGAACTGAAAGCAACGTTCTGCCTCCCCATCCTGGGTGTGAAGAAGAACCCTTCGTCACCACTCTACACCACTCTAGGGGTCATCACCAAGGGAACGGTGATAGAGGTCAATGTCAGTGAGCTGGGCCTGGTTACACAAGGTGGAAAGGTTATCTGGGGTGAGTTCTTCTTCAGTAAGGAATTTTCTAGGAACTAATATAACTAAAGTATAATTTTGTTTCTGTTGTCTCTTTTTTTTATTTGCATTTTCTAAGAAAAGTAGAAATTCCTCATCTTTTGAATACGTCATACCAAGTGAAGATCTTCATGTTGGAATGTTTGATTTTTTTTTCTTTCTCAGGTAAATACGCCCAGGTGACAAATAACCCAGAGAACGATGGATGTATTAATGCAGTTCTTCTGGTTTAAGACTCTCTATCTGTTTCCACCAAGAGCATTGATGAACAGCAGACCTACATTCACCAAACTGTTGGGAAGGTGACTGGAGCTGTGATTGGCTACATCTACTGCAGCCTAAAGGACACTCTGAAAGGAAATCATTTGATATAAATAAACTTGAAATACCATCAAATATTTCCCTGACTTTTGTATCTTCCTTGTGGACTTCATAACAATAGAATAATAATCTCACATTACATCAAAAATCTGTATTAGAACTCAAAGCTGAAGCTGTTCATGCCTTTCATGTCAGCTCATGTGTTGTCTGAGAAGATGCTTAAGGCCATATTAAACATAAATAATCCAAAATGTTGCGATGATGGTGTGTTTGAAAAACATCTAGTAAAAATAAAACAAGTTGCCTTTCTGGGTATTTTGAATACATGATAACTTATGTGGTGCTGTGAACTGTTGGGTGCAAAACATCAATCTAGTTTTATGTTTTTATTTTTTCTTCACATACAACAGTTCTGAAGCTGATTATGAACCTAAAGTGACAATTTAGAAAGATCTTATCTTGGATTATTTTAGTTTAAATCCAGGTCCTTTACATCTGTACAGTACAGATGTAAAATTACCATAATTGTGCATGTAGGGCAAGTGGGAGGTGCCCCACTTGTACAGTACAGATGTACTGTCTTCACTTCCACAGACTCCAACATGGGAATTTCAGTGATTTATTTACTTCTGTATAGTAGGGCTGCATGACCTTAGAAAAAAAATAATATGTGCTGAAAAATAAAATGAATTTCCATATGAACAAGGTTTTATTACAGAAGTTGCTTCAGGTCAAAGTATAACTGCATTTCCATATTTACCTTCTAAAATATGATTTACAGTGTGTTCTATACATAAGAATACATTATAAGTGAAAAATGCTTTAAAGCCATTATTATGGTCTTGATTTTGTTTCATAACAAAAACCGTTTTTTGAGAATCACCTTATACATTTCACACAATGTGTTGGGTTGATGTTTGATTGGGAAGCATCAACCCAACACAGACTGTTTCCATGTAGAGTTGATGAGGTGACAATCCTGAGTTTCTTAAAAACATGTTATGACATTTGATTTCACTTGTGCAATTTTTAGCAGTGTGCAGTGAGATTTAACAGCTCTGGCCATTTATTGAGGTGAATAAAGAGCTGCTTAAGTGCAAAATTTCTTCCAATAAAAACAGACAAAGATGTAAGGCAGCTACTTCCTGTAGTGTCTCATCCTCTTGTCCTTCAGATGTGCACATCTATATATAGAAGTTTAGTTTGTGCTGTACCGTCTTGCAGCCTGTGGCAGAGAAAACTCTTTCAGGTTTTGGGGAATAGATCATATCTCTGGCCACCATGTTCGCCACGTCGCGGTTCGGTCTGAGGTTTCTGGCTTTCATCTCGGCCATGGCGCACTGGACCACGTGCCTTTCCTCCAGAGGCAGGAAGGGGACAAAAAAGTCCACCAAGTTCTTGTCGATCAAACTTGTATGAAAGAAGCCGCCTGTGGGACAGGAAACAGAATATGACTCTGAGCACTTTTACTTGATTTTAAGGACATGTGGAGATCTCAGCTTACCATTTTGGCCATTGAACGCAGACAGCGAGAGTTTTTCTTCCAGGTCTTTGAGCGTGATCTTTTCTCGATCTTTTCCCATCTTCCAGAATTCTAGAGCCGTCTTAGTGATGTCGTCTCCTCCTGTGTTGCTATCGGTTACAAACCAAAACAGTATGTTGAAATTTAAAATGAAAATCCAGAGCGACCAATTGCTTTTTGAAGTCTCATAATTCGGAAACTGGGTTCGCTTGTATAACTTCACATTTTATGAAGGTCTCAGAGAACATCAGAAATATCAGAGTTGTTTATATAAAAACTACACAGACAAAAAATGCTGTATTTTTCTGCATTTACTTCATGATCACAAAAATCAATCATAACTCAAAATAAAAGTAGCCTGTAGTGGTTGTCCTTAATCTTGTGTGGTCTTACCTGAGGAAGATGAAGATGGACTTCCTATAAGAAATCCCGTCCAGATTGTCATAGTATTCCAGGTATGGCTTGATGCTGTCAATCAGGCCTGGGTGCATCTTATCCGACTCATCAAAGATGAACATGGAGCGCTCGCACTTGGTCACACTCTCTCTGACCCACTGCTGCAACTGAGACTGAGAAGAAAAGCAAGTCAGCTTTTGAACAGGAAAAGACTCATTAAGTATTTCCCTCCAGGATTTAAAAACACCAAATATTAAAACATTTAGTTATTACATGTAGAAAAGTGATCAGGCCCGAAATCTGGGTGTAGTGATGAACTCAGACTTTTAACTGTTAGAGCCGCATAAATACGGTTACAAAGTCGGCCTTCTATCACCTGAAGAACAGCCATTATGAACAAATGTCCCTGGAAGATCTAGAGAACTCATTTCATAATCAACACTGTTGATTATTGCAACAGTGTCTATTTGACAAAATGTAATCATTGTTCATTGCTCTAACTGGTTTCAGCATTTTGGGTTTTTTTAAAGTAAAGAATTTTGAACTATCTTATTGCTGAAATGTGCCACACAAATAAAGTTGACTTGATTAGAGTTGTGGGGTGTTCCTTACCTTGTACAAATTAATTAAATCTTTATGTGGGAAGTGAAAAGTGGATGTGAACAAGTGGACGAAGCGGCTTTTCAATCCTTTGGTGTAAATGCTTTCGGCGATGATCTGGCTCACTAAGTTCTTCCCGGTGCCGGTCCACCCGTGGAGAGAGAGGACCAGGGGCTTTTTCGGGTTCCTGTTGTTCATGAAGCCGTCCACAGCTTTGAGAATGATGCGAGACGCAATGTGCTGTCCGAACAGCTTGTTTTCCAGGTCCGTTTGGAGCCCTGGAGAATTTAGACAAAAAGCAAATCAGGAGATTTGTGACTGGAACCACATGAGTCACATAAGAATCATGTGGGAAATGACAACAAGAAGGCCATCATTTTTTTTCTGAATTTGTGGAGTAATCCTTGTTGTCTTGTCAATTCATAAGAATGAATGCATGAGAATACCTCATACAGGTTGGAGCGACAGATTTGAGCCCTTGAGATTGGAGAAATGCTTTCTAGCTTTTGTGGCAAATTGAACATCGGATATGAATGTTGATTTGAAGCAAATAAAAAATGACAAAAACAACTTTAAAATATCCTAAATTGTGAATGATCACAGTCTGCTGAAGTGAATATTTGTAGAAGTGTGCTGGAGCCAAACTGTGCAGACGACAGTTTTCAGTTTCACTTTCATAGAACAGTAACGTTCATCAAATAGATAGGTTAAACTTCAATTGTTGAACCAGTCAGATTATGTTTTTACAATAAGACCTTCTTGTAGAATTAAGTTTGACACACACACACAAAAACAAACTCAGAAGCTGTATTGGTTACGCATATGCTTACTTGTTCTACTGAAGGATATCCAAACGGGCCGGCAGGATTCATAGAAGTAGCAGAAAAAGCTACTCGACAAAATTCCTATGACACCACCAGCAACAACAGCCACCCCCACAACAGTAGTGATGCTAATGGGTTCCAGCTCCTTCTGTTGCCTAGCATGGCGGAGATTCTGTGAGGCGATAAAGGACATTTTACTTTCTCAGCTCCATTTCGATTAGCACAAACTGGGTTCAAACTAAAAAGAATTGTGGCGAAGCGTCTCGAAGGGGAAGTGCTGTTGTTGTAAAAGTGGTCATGCAAGGGTCCAAAGGTGCCTTATACTGTTTTATTTACCTTAAAAGCTTGTGGTATGTGTCCATTTACTTAGGATAGATTAATCATGTCCAAAATGGAAGATCTGTAATCAAAGAACTCCTCCTTAAACATCTCATCAACTAATCAAGCAAATGATAAACTGTCATAAAACAGTGCACAGAAACCTACCAATTGTAAGCTGCTAGGACTTAATTTTACAGTGTGAGCAATTGATTTAGAACAGTTTGGAGTTTATGTTAAATACCATGTTTCATGACCTGAAATGATCATGTATTTTGCTGGACATTAAATTGTCCCAAGAATTATTGGGACAAATGAAAATGTTGACCATTTTCAAGTAATATATTGATAATGACACAATACACATTGAATGTGCAATGCTAATTCTAAATAGAAGTGAGGTTTGTCTTAATGTAATTTTTCATGAAAAAGCATTTTTCCTACAAAAAAACCCCACTCATTTTGGTTTACAGTGTTTGTGGTTCTCCTGCTGCACTAGCTTTATGATTTTTATTCCACTGTTTCGCCTGAAGTTGCACTTTGCACCGTCATGCTATGCAAGCTGTTTGATGATTACACAACTTAACATAACAACGGCAGCTGATCCCATGACGGATTTATTGAAGTGATGAAAGAGTGGTCACTGAATGAGCAGGAATCTGGTGTTCCATTTATATTAACGAGTGAAACGCTGATATTCAGAAACATTTTTTATTGTTAGTTATGGTCTGATTTCCTTGAAGCTCCTTGGCTGTGTACAGCAGAAATTCACGTTCACATTCAGAGGGAAACAGAGACAGTTGTACTGAAAAGGTTTGCTTTCTTCTTAACATTTGTACAACCAGCAGAGCTTATCGTCCTGCTGCTTAAAATGTAGAAAACAGTAGTTCCAAAAAAAAGCATAGATGCCCCTTAGTGTGGCATGAAACAATGAGAAGTCATCTAAACTTTTTCTAACATCAATGTAACATTTATTCTGTACAAGTAAACTAAAGGAAAAAAAATCTGTTGGAATTTTTTTTTTTTTGCAAAAATGCAGTTTAATAATTATGAAGAACCTTAAACTAAAATGTGGTAGATTCAGTTTCATCATTCACTCTGCTTGAGTAAACACTAGGTCTGCACAACAGCAGGAAAATGTATAATTGTGATGCTCTTGCTGAAAATTCCAGCAATATTAATTATTACCCCTTATTCTATTTTACTGTCCTCCATGTTGCAGCTCAGCCACTAAAACTATGATCAGGGGAAAACATTAAGAGCAGAGTTAATCCTGTTGGTCAAATACATCAAAACATCTAATAGAAATCTCTGCTATTTCTATTAGGAGAGCACCGATTGCAGTTTTTTGGGCCGATGGTTCATTTAAACAATTTTTTAAATGAATGACTTGGCCTTTTTTTTTTTGTCTAAAATGCCACTAAATACAGCAACAAAGACACCAAGTTGGCAGCAATGGGATGACGTTTGTTGACCCCGTACTTACAAACATAATTTTCAGACTTTTGCGAAGACAGATAAGATCAGTGGATTTATGTACGTATCGGCCGATTTCTGATCAAACCAAAACGAACAAAATCAGAGTTGATTTGTTGGCCAGCCAATGTATTGGTGCGCCGCTAATTTTGATATTCCACATACTGATAGTGTGATATTTTGTTATGGCCAAGCAAAAGTTCAGAACAAACATCAACATTACATCACATCATGAGATAAGACTTGGAGAACTGTTGCAAGCCAAAATGCTGGATGAAAATACCCAGATGCTGAAATTAATAAAGTTTATAAAACTACACTATTTCAGCTAAGCTAATGCTTTCCAACTGATTTATTTTTCAGCTGATCTGTATTAGAGTAGTACAAAACTATACAATATGTGATGATGTGTGTAAGTCAAGTCTTCCAAAAGAAAGTGTTACGGTCTTTCTGCTTTTGGTTTCTGGAAAACAAAAATCATAGATTATCATCCGTCTGAGTGCTGGAAAAATGAAATAAATGTCCATCTTACATTTATTACAAAATGGCTTCAGGTCAATGTCTAAGTTAATTCCCTAAACCTTTACCTTCTAAAATATGCTTACGCTGCATTATGTTGTCAGAATGATAAATTTATCCACAATATTACATGTGGAAATGTCTAAAAGAGACTTTTCTCTTCGAAACAAAAACCTGACATTTGTTCGCTTTTGAGAATCACCGTATTTTACACTCAATGTTGCGCTCTGATTGGGAAACGGCAACCAAAACCGTTTCCGTTCAGAATCGAAGACAATTCTGAGCTTCTTAACAACAAATCACGTTACACCACATCATTTCACCCGTGTAATCTTCGCAGTGCAGTGAAGTTTAACAATGAGGAATAAAAGACACTAGACTTAAGTTTCAAAAACAAGAAAAAAGAGAGACTTCTTGTTTTTACCTCACCTACACCACCGGCTGCTCGTTTATTGAGGTAAATGAACAGCTGTTGACGTGTAAAATTCTCCTAGAAACTGAGAAAAAGGTTTAAGGCAGTTCGTTCGCATCACGTCGGAGAACGACTCCAAAGGGAAACGGGTTTCCCTGACAGGAAGACATCAATATTTAAGAGTTTTTGCAAGCAAACGCTACCGTCCAAGACTGGCGACATAAAAGCAGAGATTAAGCTCTTTAGCAAGGGACAAATTGCTCCAACCGCTTGAATATTTCATCCGGCTGGCGCTGAGTGTAAGTGAGAAGGCCTCCTGATGGCTTAATGGCCACAAGGTCAGACAGAGAAACTTTCACTAAACTCTCTCCAGCCAGATCGGCTTCCTGTCTCTAGTCAGTTTGGCTGCAAAGTTTGTTTTCTAAAAATAAAAGTGCACTTAGTGACTCGTTTTTATGTCCTTCAGATGTGCACATCTGTGTAGAAGTCCAGTTTGCTCTCTATCGTCTTGCAGCCTTTGACGGAGAACACTCGCTCAGATTTGGGGAAGTAGACCAAATCCCTGGCCACCTTGTCCGCCACGTCGGGGTTCGGTTTGAGGTTTCTGGCTTCCATCTCGGCCATGGCGCACTGCACCACGTGCTGGTACTCCAGAGGCAGGAAGGGGACGAAGAAGTCCACCAGGTTCTTGTCGATCAAACTTGTACGAAAGAAGCCGCCTGAGGGAAGAGAAACGGAAAAGTACTTCAAGAACTTTACGCATTTTTGTTGTTTTTTTAAAAGAATCTGCGATGTGACCTGGGCTTACTTTTGTTGTTGTTGAACACAGACAGTGATAGTGTCGTTTCCAGGTCTTTGAGCTCGATCTCTTCTCGATTTTTTCCCGCTTTCCAGAACTCCAGAGTGGTCTGGATGATGCCGTCTCCTCCTGCGTTGCTGTCGGGTGAAAACCAGAAGCGATACATAAAATCCAGTGCAACCATTGCCTTTAGAAAACAGAGTTCACTTGTAGTTCACTATTGAGTGGATAAAGGGTGTTGTCACACCTGTTAGTCGGATACACTTAGTTTGATTATATATAAAGCTCTCAGAAAAATGCTTTGTTTCGCTTCATTTACTACATTTGACAAAAATCAATGTAAAACCAGGAGTATCAATTTTCTAAGACACAAGTCAAATATCCTGAAGACTTAGTTGTTTACCTGAGGAAGATGAAAATGGATTTCCGGTAAGAAACCCCGTCCAGCTTGTCATAGTAGTCCAGGTATGGCTTGATGCTGTCAATCAGGCCCGGGTGCATCTTGTCCATCTCATCAAAGATGAACATGGAGCGCTCGCAGTTGGTCACATTGCCTCTGACCCACTCCTGCAACTGAGACTGAGGACAAAAGCAAATGATTAAAGCAGGTCAGACGGCTGAAATGTGTCGTAAAACTCTACACGGACTATAGCTCACCTTGTAGGCGGCTATGTGCTCCACGTGCGGGAAGTGAAGCGTGGACGTGAACACGTGGACGAAGCGGCTGTGCATTCCTTCGGCGAAAACGCTTTCGGCGATGAGCTGGCTCACAAAGTTCTTCCCGGTGCCGGTCCACCCGTGGAGCGAGAGCACCAGCGGCTTCTTCGGGTTGGGGTTGCTCATGAAGCCGTTCACGGCTTTTAAGACGATGCGGGACGCAATGTGCTGCCCGAACAGCTTGTTGTCCAGGTCCGTCTTGAGCCCTGCAGAATTTAGACAAGAGAGGCATCAGGATCGGTTGCTGTCAAGTCGATTCTGACTTTTCCCTTGTTTTCTTCTTTTTTCTTTTTGCGTTTGGTTTTTCACTTTCCTATGGCTGTCACGGTGCGTAATCGTGGCAACAAGATGTTTCCCACTCATCCCAATGGTGAAGGATCACAACCTTGCCTCCAATGTCTCTCTGCCTGGATTTCCAACTATATGGTAAGACAGAGATTTAAAGAGGAGCTGCAAAAGCGACGCTCCCCAGCAACTGGAGATGTCATCCAGGATGTACTACTGTAAATATCTTCTTTTTCCCTGCATATTGTGCTATAAGGTTCACATAAAGTAAAAGTATCTTCAGTCAGAGGTTTCTGCAGATTCGTTGCAAAACTGACTGCTACTGAAGTCAGTTTCCTCTATGCCACGATAATGACTAAAACTCATTGTTCAAGCAGTATTAACTATTTACGGCCGTTTTGTTGTTGTTTTTAAAGCTTCTCTAATGTGAACTACAATGCTGTAGAGATCTACAGATGCAGAAATTCTGCAACAATTGCTAAAAAGGGCAATATTTTTCGGTTTCAGTTTACATTACCACACCCACACACGCCATTTTACCGTCTCCCTGCTGGTTGGTGCAAAGTGGACTTCTTACACCAGGCTCGGGTATCAACGTTGCGCTCGAGCTCACCTGTTGCGTTGTAAGATATCCATTTTGGATCGCAGGTTTCCTGAAAGTATCTGAAAATAGTCCGGCCCAGCGCAGCGCCGACACCGACTACCACCGTTGTTGTGATCGGATCAAACGCGTTCACCAACCCGCTGAATGTCAGTGTCGCCCACAGACAGATGTGCGAAACTTTCATTGTCGAGCCACGGGGATCGTTTCCGATGTCAATTAGTGGAATAAAATGGTATGGAGGGCACGAGAGAAAGAAAAAAAAAAACGGCGCAAAGCCTGTACGGGCGCTTCCGCCTACGTCATTTTTTTTTTTTTTTTTTTTTTTTGTTGTTTTGAGTTACGTTCAAGTCAGGTTTGAAAAAATGTTTAAATTGGATACTAATGAGGATTAAAGTGAGGGGAAAAAAATATAACAAAACAACAACACTTTTTGCTTACTCGTTATATTGAATGATATCCACTCGGGTCGGCAGCACTCGCGGAAGTAGTAGAAGATGTTCTGGTATCTCGCTAAAATCCCCGTGAGAGCCGCAGCCATTCCCACCGCGATAGTGGTGCTGATGGGCTCCAGTGCCGCCGCCACGCTGGAGTGGAGAAGCAGCCAGAGGAGCAGGACGTGTTGCTTCCTCGGACGCATGTCTCTTTTGCGAGGGCGAAGGGTTAGGGTTGTTATGCTCAGAGGAGCGCGTTGTTATGGCGAAGCGGTCTCGAGGCGGAAGTGCTGCTGTTGTTCAACTGATGACGTCAGGGTCCAAAGGTTCTTCTTCTTCTTCTTGTTAAAGGGGTTCAGTTTCCCAAACACTTTTAGCCTCTGACTCCCTGACAGGGTCATGACTGATTTTATTTTTTTTTATTTATTTTCGTTTCACAAAATTGTTTCTTAAATATAATCTTTGGAGATCATATGAACGCCACTGTTTCACAGTTGGGTGTCATGACCCTGGATAAGCAAAAACGTGGCCGTAAGATACTTAATAGAGTTTCACATGACAAAATAATAATAATTATTGTCGATATATACTCTTAACCTTTCTGCAAAAATATTTTTCTTGATAAAGCACAAGAAGCTTCAGAGAGATGTCGTCTGCTTAATAAGTGGAGCCTGGTTTCTGACACTAAAAATATCTCCACAAACCCAAATGCAACTTTTTTTTTACATTATGTGAAAAATGTAAAGAAAAAAAAAGAGCACCAGACCAAACTCATTTAAGTGAGACTTATCAGCCTCATGGTGGCGCTACAGCACAGCTGAGAGAGGTCCCAGGGATTCAGAACCAGATGTAAAAACTCACAGGACACATAATCACAACCAAACTTTTGTAAAAGCATGGAAAAAAAATGAAAGAGAAAAAAATAGAACCTCGTCTCCATTAGGATGCAGAAAGTAAGACAGAAACTGGATGAATACTGTGACAAAATAAAGCATCTCTGCTGGGTGCCATGGAGATACTGTTGTATCTGAAATCACAGTCATTCCTCCAGGTTGGTATTGATCAACATGCAAACAATGGAGATTGTTTTCAAAAAAGATAAATAGACATGTAGGAGATAACTGTGGAAGCAGGCTGTTTGTATGTGGAGAAAAATTTGGTCACCATTTCAGCCGTCATCAAGTGGGAAAAAGCAGTGAGTGGATGCGATCTGATGACTGGATGATTGGAGCTCTCTGCTCTTTCCTTTCATTTCTCCAGCACATATTCCCACAGTAGTTAGGAGAAGGCTACCAGAGGGCGCAGGTCAGCCTTTAATCCTTCTGTAAACAGACAGCAGTGCCACCACTCACACTTAAACGCCCCCTTCACCCGCCCGGCCCCCACTCCCACACTGTTCACCTCATCTCAGGCTCGCCTGCCCAATCCCCCGGGAGGACAGTCTCTCAGAGAATCAAAGCACATTCCTGTGACATGAACAATGAGATGATCCACAGAAAGGAGGCTCAGAGAGCCGTATCTGAAGATCTGCATGTACATAATGCTCGAAGATAAGAAACTCAGGTGTGTTTTCCAGTTGTGGTGCTGCTTTCCCACCAGGAGAGGTGTGAACAGCGAGCATTTGGCGTAGCTGGCTATAATTCCTGCTATTTGTCCCAATCTAATTTTAATCATTGTTATTTTTTTTTTGTCTAGAAAATATAAAAAGGTCACAGAGATTATAGAAAAAAATAACCTGTGAGGTTAAGGTCACTGTGGACAAACTTGATCTGCAATGACAAGAAATCAAACCATTAATAACTGTAAAAGTAATTTTATACATGTCTCACATTTGGATAAACCCACAAAAAGTAACAATTATGTCTTTTTCAAAATGTAGAATGATGAGGATTTTTATTTGATCTCAAACAGGGTTTGCTGTAAACAATGTTATTTGACTTTTACTGCCAACACTGACAATAGGATTTTGATTCATAAAGTAGACATGGAAAATGCTGCACCTTCATTGAGCAATTATTGTGTTAAAGAATTTTATTTTATTTACTTTGATGTCGCTTTTTGAAAGAATTGTAAAATTTGTGGACTGGAATTCCAAAATATACGTCAAAACAGCCTGTATGTAACGAAGTATTTAAAAGATCGTCTGTTCTCTAAATCTGAAGAATCCAGGGAGAATAAGAATCAAATCAACACCAAAAGCCAAATCTGTTGCCACAGTTCAGATATGAACATGTCTTTTTACACATTGTATCTTATGCTACTGAGAATAAAATAGGCAGTTTCTTGATTTGTTCTTTTTCAAAGTTCTTCTTTCTTTTGCCTTTCTTGTTTCAGATCTTCAAACAAATTATATTATCTATCAAAGGTAACTTGAGTAAATACAAAAAAAACAACAAAAGAAAACAAATTATACAATGGCTTTAATTTATTTGGGTTAAAAAAATTGTCTCACTGGGAAAAAGAAATCTAACAATCTAACAACTTGCGATAATGTCCCCCCCCCTTAATAAATTCAATCACATTGAAATTATTGCTCTCCAAGTATTGACATAAAATGAAGTACATATTTCTGCAAAGCAGGCAGCACAACTATATTTTGTTGCCTCTGTTTGATCTGTTGTAAAACTAGCAATCTGTGCGGGACTTAAGCTCTTCCTGATGGTGGCGCTGCAGACACATTTCAGTGGTACCAAACTTCAGCGGAAACCAGGGAGAGTCCCATCATGTTCTGCTTTCAGGAGTGAAATGGGAAGCTCAGTCCCTGGTTGCAATATTTATTGAGTGGAAAAATGGCAAATAAAAACAGAGGTGTTTAATGAAAGTGAAGAAACAATACAAATGTTACAAATGGTCTAAAGAAAGAGGGACCTGCTTGGTCAAAAATTCAAAATCATTGATATGATGAGAAGAAGGGAGAGCAAAACTTCTATTGAACTCAGTAATGGGCGACAATGTACAATATTTCATTTTCCAGAACCAAATCTATTCTCTTCTTGCGAATTAATGGAGAGTGGTTGCAGCAAGAAATAAAGCTACAAACTTGGTAAAGGTACATATATTTATGTGGCGCATTTTCAGGAATTGCAGGAATTAAAAGGAAATACAAACAAGATAAGCCAAAGGGAAGAGCAAAAGAAGAAAAGGTGATAATGTTGATCCAAAATAAATAAACTAGATACTCCTATTCAGGGTGGGTAGATGAGTATGAGGAAGTGTCCTCTGGTCTAATTCCTTTTCTGGTTTGGAAGAAAAGGAGTCTAAAAGGTCGTCTTTCTGGATTCTAAGTTTGTTCTGATCCCTGTTCTGGGTTCCTAATAGGGCTTTTCCCAGGAAGTTTTTTCAGGGATTCACAGATCAGATATTTTTAAAATCTCACCTTCTGTTTTGTCGTGCAAAATTCTTTTTTTCTTCTTTTTTTTGTTTTGTTTACCAAAGAGCTTTCAAAATGTCACAATCCAGCTTTTTCGCCATAAGTCAATATACATGCATTTTGAGCAGAGACGTCATCCCACCATACGGTGAGCAGCTCTACGAGGTAGAGCAGTCACAGCAAAATACAGTTTAAGACAAAACTACTGCAGCCTTAAGATTTATCAACGTCTTCTTATTAGGACAGATTTGTGTTTTTCCCCATTCTGTCTAAATCCAACGTGTGCAATGAACGACAGAGGTGAGGTTGGGTACGTTTAAGCTTCCTGTTTTCTACTAAGATCTTGGGACCGATGCCCTCTTGAGCTTAGTGCTATAGTCAGCATCATGAACAAAGAGCTGAAATTTTTCCCCTTAAATGTCTTCAGACATTAAACAGTTCACTTCTACTTGGAGAAGAATGTTGTCACTACAACTCTGTAGTGCTTCCGTGTGTTGTGTTAATTGCTCTAAAAAAAGATTTCATTTGTGATTTACCGACTGGTTGCTCACCAGGTCGGACCAGTCAGTTTGAAAATTGGCCAGTTGTGATCATCAAGCAATTGCTTGGTCCATCTTCAGACAACTTAATTTTATTGATATATTTTGTTGCTGATATTTTCTTGCTGCCTTTTGGAGTTTTGCGTGGAATACCGACTTTAAGATGTGATGCTTCGTTGAGACAAATAATTTCTTGGTCATTTTATAAAGTAAAATTTTACAGCAAAATCAGGATTTCTACAAACTGATAACTCTGATTCTCTTATTCCTCTCTGCTCTGAAATCAAACCAGAGCAAAGAGAGGAAGAAACCGTTTCGAAAGCATCTCCTCCTGATGGATTACGATCATCGAAGGGCAAAAAGTTACGCTCTTATAAAATACGACAGAGATAACTCAAAACACCAGAACCATCCGTGTTTGTGTTCTGGTTTGCTCATCCGCCAGGAAAAGAAACCTGAATGATCTCGGGCTCTGCTTCCCACGGATAATCTGCAACACCTGCTGTCAGATCCAAACGGATGCACCACATGTGTGTAAGCCTCAGCAGGGAGTGAATTATGACGGGGGATTTCTGCTGGTTTCCATGTAAACAAAATCAAATTGTTGTTGTTTTGTTTTTGTCGCTGCAGCGGCAGCAGTTAAAATCTTCAACCGTGGGACAGTTTCCCGTGTCGGACATGAATGTCCCCCATGCAGCGACGAGATGGAACTCTCACATCCCATCATGCACCAGGACAATGCAGAGCAGCAAAAAACGACAGGCCCCAATTTCTACACCGAGGCTTGTGAATAGGAGAAAAACGCGCCTTAGCACAATGCCTGCAGTCATTTCACAAACATTCCCTGAGTCGTCCCTATTGTGTCAGAGCAGCAGTACATAATGTAAACATCCTCTCTCTGTGCCGAGACGCAACTATATTCAGACTCCCCACAGGAAGTGACTTCATGTCCAGCGTCCGCTGCACTCTTCCTCTCTCAGGTGGGGGAGCATTCTTGGCAGCGGACCTCGCGGGTCAAGGAAGCAGAGGTTAGACTGTGATGCCACTGAATGCTACAAGCGGCAAACACTTTCTGTGATTTGTTTTAAAAATTCATATTTATGAACACATTTCTGTTTGGGTCACTTTGTTCGTTTGCCTAATCGTGTTGTGTTCTAAATGTTGTTGTTGTTGTTGTCCATTGTGAGACTGTCCAGTGGACTCGGGAGATTTTTTTATTAACTTTTGGAAAATGGCAAATTTATATCCCAGTGAAATAGGAAAACATGCTTTGCTCATAATAAGCTCCTTGATGGTGTGTAAAAACATCACATTTGTATTAAATATCATGTGGTATTACAGACTTTAAAGACCAAATGATTTTAGTTAAACCTCTGGTGGATTGCAT